TAAGATGAGTGAAAGCCAGTTGAAAGCAAAATTAAAAAAAAGAAATCTGCAAATTCTAGTTCTCTTTGAGATCTTATACTATAATGATGATAGTTTTAAGATTATGTCTCCTTTTTTTTAGACAGAGTCTCACTTTGTTGCCCTCCATACAGTACCATAGCATGATAGCTCACAGCAACCTCAAACTCATGGGCTCAAGCAGTCTTCTTGCCTCAGCCTCCTGAGTAGCTAGGACTAGAGGTACCCATCACAGCGCCTGGCCATTTTTAAAGACAGGCTGCTTTTTGCTCTTGAGCTGGCTGGTCTTGAACTCCTGTGCTCAAGCAATCCACTCGCCTCAGCCTCCGGAGTGCCAGGATTATAGGTGTGAGCCACTGCACCTGGCTCTGTCTCCTATTTTTGATAGTTTTTTTTTTTTTTTTTACCATTTGTCACCTAGTAAGGCAATAGGTTCATGTTGTGATCTTTACTCTGCTTCCAGGCAGGAGGACAGAAGATAAAGGCATCCTCAACTTCGAGAGAAAATTATTATAATAGACTATCAAGTACTCAAATAATTTACTCTGATAGCAAGTTGCTATAAGCAATGTATTATCAATGTAGCACATATGCAAGTAGCTTAGAATAATATGGGGGTTAAACTGGTCTTAATACTGAAATTAGAAATTCTTCTTGCCTAACTTGGAGTTTTAGTCATTAATTCTTTGCCTTTGCCAATGTCCAGAAGAGTTTTTCCTACATTTTCTTCTAGAATTATTATAGTTTCAAATCTTACATTTAAGTGTATCCGTCTTAGGTTAATTTTTACATATGGTGAGAGAGATTGGGGTCCAGGTTCATTCTTCTTATATGGCTGCCCAATTTTCCCAGCACCATTTATCGAATAGGGTGGCCTTTGTCCAGTCTATGTTTTTGTCTGCTTTGTCAATGATCAGTCTTTTGTAGGTATTTATTTGTTTGCTTGTATTTTTGGATTCTCTATTCTGTTCCACTGATCAGTGTTTTTACTTTAAAGCCAGTATTATGCTGTTGTGGTTACTATAGCTTTGTAGTGTAGTTTGTTGAGTGATATCTCTAGATTTGTTCCTTTTGCTTAGGATTGCTTTGGCTATTCTGGCTCTTTTTTGGTTCCGTTTGAAGTTTGGGATTTTAAAATTTTAGATGTATGAAAAATGACATTGGTATTTTGATGAGAATTGTGTTGAATCTGTAAGTCACTTTGGAAAGTATAGACACTTTTACCATGTTGATTCTTCCAATCCATGGGCATGAGATGCTTTTCCCTTTGTTTATGTCATCTGTGATTTCTTTCATCAGTGTTTGGTAGCTCTCCTTGTAGAGATCTTCTATCTCCTTGGTTAAATATATTCCTACTTATTTTGTTTTCTTACCAGCTATCGTAAATGGTATTGAGTTCTTGATTTGACTCTCAGCTTTACCATTATTAGTGTATAGAAATGGTACTTATTTGTTTGAGATACTGTTTTGGTCATGATGTTGACTACTACCTAGTTGCTTTGTTTTCTTCCTTGTGTTACTGTTTTATAAGAGCTGTGAGTTTTCACTTTTTTTTTTT